AACCAAACAAATGTACAAATAAAGCAATATATGTATTTACCTAAAGAAATATAGTACTGCCATACCAAACATATATGTAACAAGTACAGCGTACCCACCAAATACTCCAATTCCCGCTTTTGAAACTAGGACATTGGTCTTCAGTAAGGCTGCGCACGAACGCTCATCGGTTAACGACCCATCACATCGTTTACCTGCACACTTTGCGTACTTTACAAGGTCACGTGATCTAATCTGGCGCGTTGCATTTTGACATGACGACCAATCACTCCATTCACTAAGACTGCAGTCAACATTTTCACATTCACAGCAATCGCCACTAAACCCTTCTTGGCAGCTGCATGTGTCCTCCTGTGTTTTCCGAATTCCGCTGTTGTAGCAGAACTGATTGCATACTCTTTGATCAGTAAGGTTAATGGGGCAGGCATCTCTACCACAGGCCGGTTCCTTAATAACATTGCGTGTTCTAAACTGTTTACCTAGAGGTCCGCATTTTTTCGAACAAGCTGACCATTCGCTCCAAACACTCATGACACAGTCTTGTATCTTGCATTCACAGCATTGGCCACTGTATCCAACTGGACAATCACAACGACTTTCAGAAATTGTCCCTCTGTTCAAACAAAATTGATTACACGACTTTTCCTCTGACAATAAAGAAGGAAACATAGTCTGTCCACACACAGACGATCTGTCGATGTCACGTGTTCTAAACTGTTTTCCTAACGGACCACAAGTATGTGAGCAGGATGACCACTGGCTCCACGTAATCATAGCACAGTCTTGTAATTTAACATTACAACAATGACCAGTGAATCCATCTGGACATTTGCAACTTTTCTCTGAAGGAACCAAACTTCCTCCATTGTAACACATTTGATTGCATGGCTGTTGTTCGGAAATGGCAAATGGGCATGTCCTTCCACCGCACTCTGGTGACTGTAAAATTTCGCGAACTCTAAATTGTGTTCCTAACGGTCCACACGCATGCGAACATGGTGACCATTCATTCCATTCAGTCATTTCACAATGTTTTATTTTACATTCGCAACATTTTCCTGTAAAACCAGATGGACAATTGCAGGTGCCAGGCCAAACTGCACCACCGTTGAAACAAATTCGATTGCATGGCTGTTGTTCTGTTAGGACAGACGTACACGCAGCTCCCCCACATTCTGGAATCTGATTTATATCACGAGTTCTAAATCTCTTTCCAAAAGCACCACACATCTCAGAACACGTTGACCATTCGCTCCAGGCATTCATGACGCAGTCTTTTACCTTGCATTCACAACAAGTTCCACTGTATCCGTTTGGACAATTACAACGGGATTTGGAAAGTGCCCCTCTATTAAAACAAATTTGATTACATGACTGCTCCTCTGATAACAAAGAAGGAAACTTGGTCTGTCCACACGAAGACGATCGATCAATATCACGTGTCCTAAACTGCTTTCCAAGGGGGCCACAAGAGTGTGAGCAAGGAGACCACTGGCTCCATGGACTCATAGCACAATCTTGTAGTCTAACATCACAACACTGACCAGAGAATCCATCGGGGCATCTGCAACTTTTCTCTGAAGCAACCAAACTGCCTCCATTGTAGCACATTTGGTTGCATGGCTGTTGTTCGGAAATGGCAGATGGGCATGTTCTTCCACCACACTCTGGTGACTGTAACATTTCGCGAACTCTAAACTGTGTTCCTATAGGTCCACATGAATGTGAACATGGTGACCATTCATTCCATTCAGTCATTTCACAATGTTTTATTTTACATTCGCAACATTTTCCAGTAAAACCAGATGGACAATTGCAGCTACCAGGCAAAAGTGTACCACCGTTAAAACAAATTCGGTTACATGTCTGTTGTTCAGTTAGAGCAGACGTACATGTAGCTCCCCCACATTCTTGAAACTGATTTATATCACGAGTTCTAAATCTCTTTCCAAAAGCACCACACATCTGAGAACACGTTGACCATTCGCTCCAAGCATTCATGATACAATTTTGTATCTTACATTCACAGCATTGGCCGTTGTATCCAACTGGACAATCACAACGATTTTCGGAAAGTGTCCCTCTATTCAAACAAACTTGATTACACGACTTTTCCTCTGACAATAAAGAAGGAAACATAGACTGGCCACACACAGACGATCTGTCGATGTCACGTGTTCTAAACTGTTTCCCTAGCGGACCACAAGTATGTGAGCATGGTGACCACTGGCTCCAAGGAATCATGGCACAGTCTTGTACACTGATATCACAGCACTGACCACCGAATCCATCAGGGCATCTGCAATCTTTTACTAGAGCAATTAAACTGCCTCCGTTGAAACAAATTTTATTACATGGTTGCTGTTGTGCTAAGACAGACGTACATGCAATTCCTCCACATTCTGGAAACTTATCTACCACACGCGTTCTGAATCTCGTTCCAAGATCACCACACCTTTCCGAACACGTTGACCAGTCGCTCCAAGAAGTAATGACACAGTCTTGTGTCCTGCATTCACAACAAATGCCACTGTATCCGATTGGACAATTACAACGCCTTTCAGAAAGTGTTCCTCCGTTCTGACAAATTCGATTACATGACTGCTCCTCTGACAACTCAGAAGGGAACATAGTCTGCTCACATACAGTCGATCGATCAATATCACGTATTCTAAACCGTTTTCCTAGCGGACCACACGTATGTGAGCAAGATGACCACTGGCTCCATGGAATCATAGCACAGTCCTGCACATTAACATCACAACACTGACCACCAAACCCATTTGGACATCTGCAGCCTCTGCCTGAACCGATCAACGTTCCTCCGTTGTAGCACTTTCGATTACATGGTTGTTGCTCGGAAAAAACAGATGGACATTTTCTTCCACCGCATTCTGGTGACTGTTGGATATCTCGAAGTTTATAGCGTGTCCCCAAAGGTCCACAAGCATGCGAGCATGGTGACCAATCGCTCCATTGAGTCAATTCACAGTGTTTTATTTTACACTCACAGCATTGTCCCCTATATCCGGATGGACACTTGCAGATGCCGTCTTCTATCCTACCACTATTGTAGCAAATTCGATTACATGGCTGCTGTTCAGTCAGTGACGATGTACATGCAGTTCCACCACATTCTGGAGTCTGGTCAATATTGCGAGTCCTGAACCTTGTTCCGAGAGAACCACATTCACGCGAACACGTTGACCAGTCACTCCACTGGCTCATTTTGCAATCTTTTACTTCACATTCGCAGCACTTCCCAGTAAATCCACGTTTACATTTACAGCCGTTTCGTTCCGACAGGGTAGTACCTCCATTATAACACAATACGTTGCACCTACGTTTCTCAAAATGCTCTCCATAGCAGTCAATTCCTCCATACTCTGCTTGTGTCGAGTACGATCTATTTCTATGTTGTGTTTCATTTACACCACATTGTTGAGAACATTCACTCCATTGAGTCCAGTTTTGCCATTTACAATCAACCGGAGGACGAAAGTGTATTTCCCTACCTAGGAAATAACCAGCTAGTAGACCCACACAACAACAAACAAATATACCAACAACTACACCTGCCACCTTTTTGTCAGCCATTTTCTACTGTTGTGGATACGGTATACTTGATAAAGTTTTGACGGTCTAAACTGCAGTCATTATTTGTATAGTCTATGCAGGAAGCTGTAATTATTTATCCATCCAGTGATAATCACAAAAATATATGTAGGCCTATGTATGTAGTGGAATTTATTTAGCGCATAATACCGAGGTCTCTATGCTCTGAGTGAAAAAGTATTCAAAGAAAGCAAACTTCAAATATTTACAAAGTTCTGGGATCTTTGATAAATAATTGTTAAAATAATGTCTATGACAACAAAAGCTTCACAATAGCTAGCATCTATCTCTACCGTTACACACTTTTATCAAGGTAAATATTTACACAATCCTTGTGATCGATCGTGAGTATTACTAATAAAACTCTACATAATAAGCAAATTGTAAGCAGGGGTGGTGACAGTGGTGGTCGGTTTCCAGGGACCGGTCCCCTGTCGGAGAGCCCATTCGCCGTCGGGTAGCTGGCTCTAGTCCGTGAGATAAACACAATTCTATATAAAGAAGAAAAACACTACAGATGACCGATAGAAATTTGTCGAGCAAATAAAATACTCATAGTAGTTAAAATCACCTTAGATTAAATCACACCTTATTCTCTCTAACCCAGCTTCCACTACCCCCCCCCCCCCCCCCGCCTGCCGCAATCCCGTCCCTAGTTCCCCTCGCGCCAGTTTAATACACGTTGATAAACCACTGTTATTTGCTAGTCCGAACAGTTTTTTTTTCTGTCATGGTATTTTTTCGTTCTAGGTTTATTAGTCTCGCAACAGAAATATTCGGCGTCAAAGTAGCATATTAGGGCCATACAGCCAACATATTTCCACTTTGTTGAAAGTTTGTGTCAGTGGCGTAATGCCCGTAAGCTCTCAGGGCGAAGCTCGGACCCCCAGTCCATATAAAGGGCCTCAGAGTGCGGCTCCAATGACTCTTTCCTACTATGGAGCTTTTGTCAGTGGAGTACCGGTAACGCCTCGAGGCCAATCTCTCTAGAGTCTGTCTCTTATACACATCTAGGGGGGGCGGCGGGGGAGGAACAACCACGGGTCCCTCGAAATGTGCGAACCAACCTATAAATTATTATTATATTTCATTGTTTATTTTGCTTAGCTTTGGGTGTCTTTCTACGACACGGAAACACGTCATTATCAAAGACCTAGGCGTTGGGCATGCTAGTTAAAGTAAGGGGAAAGGTAATTTTTTTAGGGGGGGGGACATTATGTTTTTCCATAGCAGACCTGATATAAATTATAATCTATAAAATCACAACATTACATGCAACGTTTGTATCCATGTGTTTGTTATTTTTATTTAGGCCTATAGGAATACTCAGTATATTTATTACTGTAAAAAGTTAAATGCATAGTTTTTAAGTGGCCAGTGGCCATGAAATAACAGATGGGAGCAATTAATTTTGTAGGCCAATATTACAATGTTCATTTTCCCGCCAAAATTGGTGGAGAGGTGGGGGTGGGGAACTGGCGGTAAAATGTCTGTGAAGGTGAGTGTTCAATACAACTGTCACGTATCTCTTACAGGCTGATTAAATTGTGTGTTTTTTTTAAATATTCATTACGTATTGTACCGTACTTGCAATTAAACAGCATTTCATAGACCATGAATTTCCTGGTTGATTTTTTTATTTAGGTCTTTGTGATGTTTAGACGCGTCGACGCATCTCTATAGTAACACAACTGTGTCGGACTATGGACCTACGATGAATAAGATGAAAAATAGATTTTGGGCGAACTGAGCGGATACAACTGATTAAAGAGAGGCTCTTAATAATTTTAGATATAGTCTGAGACAGATATAGTCAAGATTATATATTTTGGTATATTTTATTGAGATAAAAAACATCGAAAACACAATCTTTGGCAGCATTAAGCTGAATTGTAGATTGGGTAAATACAATAAAATCTATAAAATTTGTGATAAGACTAATAAATGTACAGTATATAAAAATATGACACAGTCAAAAAACACTAAAAATACAAAGAATAAAAAACAATTTTACATCACACTTTACTCCTGAGCTATATATAATATCCAGATTATTAAGACTGGGGGGTTCATCCGCCACAGGACCTCACAATGAATTGAGAATTCGTACCATGTAAGGTATCGGGCTATTTTTGTATCGGGATTTAGTACATTTGTATTCACTATATAGTTTTTTATTTCGTAATGACATATTATGTGTAGTATTGTTAATTGGGAACCAGTGCTTAAATTTTTCCGAATTTGCAGTTTTCTTTGCAAATGTTTTGCAAAGTGAGGTCCTGCGGTCAGACAAACCCTCCAGTCCAAGAGTTAGTAGCGCATCCTCATAATTAAAAAAATTACCGGCAAGGATAATATGGCATACGCACCTTTGAACGCGCTCTATGGATGTGCTTTGTTGTTTAGTGAGGCCAGGGTGCCACAACGGTGCAGCATACCGGCCGAACATAACATTTATAAACATGCAGAAGTTCATTGTAATTAAGTCCGGCTCTTTTTAATGTTATCAAAATAAATAGCTTTCTATTTACCTTCGCAATTATAGCATCCGTGTTACTCTTCCATTTAAGATCATTGTCTATTAGGACTCCTAATAATTTGACTGTGTCAACTAGTGGAAGAGTTTCGTTAGCAATGTGGAGGTCGATGTCTGGAAGGGGTCGACGACCAAAGAAAAATCTAATCACCTGGCATTTAGAAGGATTGAGTTTAAGTTTACTTTTAATTAATTTCTTAATTCTGGAGGTTATCCAGGGCTTATCACCATTATGGTTCTTTTTAACCTTTACTGGGAGATACTTATCTATTGCTGAATTTATCATTCTGTAAAAAACGTCAGCTTTATTGCCGGGCATATATATATCATATGCCTAATTCAACAAAGGGTCCAGTAAGCACAATGGTCTTTTTATATGAGTACTTCGCATTAGTTGCAGAATTATGCAAGTCACTAGTACTTATAATCACGTAACGAGTCTTCATTCAGTCTGTTTAACTTGTGTTATGGTATACCAACATCCAGTCTCTTATTAGTATCGTGAACGTAACAAATAGGCCTACAATGCATGAAAAATGTGATTTATTTATGTTATGCAAATGGTTTATTTTCTTTTGTATGTATTTTCTTATGTTGGATATGAATAAAAATTTGATTTGTTTTTAGGCATGTGATATTGCACGGCGAATGATCATGATAAACCTCGTTAAGGCCTATTGCAAAGCAGACAGTGGTGGTGCCAGTGGACTGTATGGGCATAACTTGCAAAGTCCTACCTTCACAGCATTAGTGAAATGTTTTAGCTTACATAGTACAATTTTAATAAACGTTAATATTTAGTATTGTAACTGACAGTAAATGTATCACTTCAATGTATCGAATCAATCACCTGTTTTATTTTTGCAGTGATTCAAATACGAAGCCCACAAAGGCTGAATCCCTAGCTAGACCATAAAATCGAAGGTGCGCCGTTCTATCAAAATCACTCGCGATGCACAGAGCAGCAGCCTGAGCATCAAGGCTGACACAGACTTAAAATTTACGCATGCGCAAACATATGTTCTGTAAGGATTAATATGAATAATTCATGTGATTTTACCAAACTATCCTACAACGTTAAAAAAATTGCATGTAACATGGTGCTGGGACTGAATATGTCTGGTTATACGGGGCCTCTTGACAGATCTTCAATACAATAACATGATTGAAATTGAACAAACCAGTATGAAAAGATTAAGATACAAATCGCTTTATACATACACATAAAAGATACGAATCACATTGTATCTTTTAAATATGTTTCTTAACAGTTTCAAAATTGGATGAGTCATATATTTATTTGAGGTATGTCAAGAAGAACATTCCATTATTGAGTTGAAGTAGTTTCGCCTACTGAAATACATGGGGTAGCATAAACTGGTTTTCTCTTGGGAGTTAACAGACGAACATAAATTGTTAGATAAATACTTTGCATTTCATCTCCGAAACATGTTGTAGTTTTAAAAAACACAGTACATCTGAAATTTATCGGCATCAATGTTAACGTGAACCTGATCATTCATCAATCTAATAATTTCATTTTCCGGAAATTTGTAGTTTACGGTGTTACTTGTTATTTGTCGCTTTTCCTTACAGAGTTACGAAGCGCTATAGCCATACTCCACATAGTAGTAAAGTAGTATAGCCACTCGTCCACCGATAGTGCTGCATCGCCAAACCCAAACAAAGTGTGGAAACCTAAATAATTCAGTAAAGCAGTATTTAGAAGCGAAATGGTTTAAAGCAAACAAAACAATAAACACAAAAAATAAGATTAAGCAAGAGGAGGTGGGAGGTAGGAAACTATTGAAATAGGTGTGCTTAGATCGGCTTTGAGCCTAAACGAATAGCAAGACCTGAGAAAATTAGGCAGACCATTCCAACTAAAGGAAATGAATTGTCCGTCAACGTGTACGTTTATAGAGACCGGTCGAAAAAGTTGGATGGAGTTGGAAGAGATCCTTAAGCGCACATGGGCACGTAGGTGCAAATATACAAAAGGGCAGCCTGAGAGTGATTTGAAAAAAAGTTCAAATTGAATTCTTTCTTCAACAGGCAAACAATGACGCTTTGTGTGCCTTTTTTCTAATCCCTTATGATTTAATCATTTTATATATTATAATTGTTGTATTTTAATTATTCATATTTTATAGTGTACATTAATGAGAGAATTGGAAATAAAATCGTATTGAATTGAATTGAATAGTCCAAGGGGAATCGATTTACTAATTCCATGAGAACGGAGAACAACCACGGACTTTTATGTCTCCAAAAATCCTTGGATGAACAGAGTCTCTATATATCCAGTTGCGTACTGCAGGTTCAGGTTCATTGAACCTGGGCCCCGAGCTCAAGGGGCCCCCGATCTGAGCCCCCCCCCCCACTTTCCTGATCTAATAAAGCAATGTTTTATTGTGACATTAGTTTATAATTTTTATGGCTTTGTTTGTTGCCTTTACCTTTGTATATTGAGGGTAGTCATTGAAACTTCCCAATCATTTGGAACCATACCATTCATTAATGATTTATTTATTATGAGTTGAGTTTGAAATTTCTGTTCTTATATTACTAAAATAATCGCTAAAATTTCCACAATCGAGCCTGGATGAATATTGTTTGGATTTTTGT